AGACATCAAAGCTCAGGGGATCTCAAGGGACTGTTCCGAGAAGAGATTGGGAGGGCTTGGAACAAAGCTGCCTTTCACGTATCAGCCTCACAAGCATTGTAAGGCGTTTTCACTGGGAGGGCTCAGCCTTACAGCAAAGCCCTGATTTTAACCTACGTGTCTTCCTCTAATCAGGCAGTTAGTCACCCATCTTGGTCAGGGCAGAGAGCGCACAGGGACGTGTTCCTGCCTGATTTCCCGCCAGGGCATGCTATGGAGTCTTCCCAGGGCGTAACTTAAAAACTAAGATAGTCTTTGTTTTAATGTAGTCCAATTTATCAAGTTTTTCCTTATGATTTGTGTCCGATTAAAGAAATTTTTGCCTAGCCTAAGTCCAGAGAGATCTCCTGTTTTCTCCTTTAAGCTTTATGGTTTCATCTTTCGCTTTACTAGTACGCTTGTGGCCCATCTTGAATTAATTTTTGTGTGTGCTGTGAGCAGAGGCCTAGGTTCATCCACTGCTCCCAAAGGACATCCACTTGCCTTGGCATCATTTGCTGAAAAGACCATCCTTTTCCTATCCTATATAATAAAAGAATAATATGCAAATTGACCCTAGCAGCAGAATGACCAGGAACGACCAGTTGCTATGATGTGCACTCACCACCAGGGGGCAGATGCTCAACGCAGGAGCTGCTCCCTGGTGGTCAGTGCACTCTCACATGGGACCCCTGCTTCGCCACAAGCTAGGCTGACAGCTGATGTCCGATTGTGACAGCTGAGGCCCATTCCCCTGGGGAGTAAGAACATTCCTAAGCTGGCAGGTGGACATTCCCCGAGGGTTCCTGGGCTATGAGAGGGTGCAGGCTGGGCTGAGGGACCACCCTGAATGCACAAATTTTTGTTCACTGGGCCTCTAGTTGAATTATAATGGTGCCTTTGTGGTAAATCACCATACATGAGTGAGTCTACTTCTGGATTCTCCATTCTGTTCCTCTGGTCTTGTGTCTATCCTTGCACCAACAATCATAGTATAAATTTAGAATGAATTGTATTAAAACTGAAGCACTGAATAGAGGGGATCCATTATATTCATCTCTCTCTAATCTCCTCTTTATTCCAGGAAGCTGAACATTTGAGGAGGAAAAAGAATTATCCTATACTAGGGGCCCGGTGCATGAAATTCATGCACTGGGTGTGTGTGTGGGGGTGTCCCTCAGCCCAGCCTGCCCCCTCTCACATACTGGCAGCCCTCAGGCGTTGACCCCCATCACCCTCCAATCGCAGGATCGGCCCCTTGCCCAGGCCTGAAGCCTCAGCCAGAGGCGTAGACCCCCATCACACTCCGATCGCCTGATCAGCCCCTTGCCCAGGCCTGACGCCTCCGCCAGAGGTGTCAGGCTTGGACAGGGGACCCCCATCTCCCCCCGATCACTGGCTCTGGCCCCCGCCCAGGCCTGAGACCTCTGGCCCAGGAATCATGCCTGGGCAGGGGACCCCCATCTCCCTCTGATCGCTTGCTCCACCCCCCGCCCAAGACTGACACCTCTGACCCAGGCTTCAGGCCTGGGCAAGGGGACCATCATATCCCCCCAATCCCTGGCTCCGCCCCCCACCCAGGCATGATGCCTCTGGCCCAGGCATCAGGCCCAGGAAGGGGACCCCCCAACCCCCCGCCCAGGCCTGATGCCTCGGCCAGAGGAGTTGACCCTCATCACCTTCCGATCAC